TTAGTTCCTGACCTTAGTGGAAAGGTGTGTGACACACGCCTTTATGCTCTGCCTTTGCTCATGCTATTGTTCCCACAGCATGGGCTGATGGTCTTCCTTTCTACTCTAGCCTTCAAACTTCTACCTATTCTCGAGGCCTGGCTCAGGTGACACTTCTCTTTCTGAAGCCTTCTCCTTCTACTCAAAGGGCTTTGTTTATCCTCTGTATTCATTGCTTTGTCGCCTAATTTACTATTGTGCTTGTTCCTCCACTCAGTAGAGTGCGAGTTCACTGAGGGCAGGCCTGAGTCTTCCTCTTCTCTGTATTCCTAGTGCGTGACTGATAGTTGGCACACCTTCAACCCTGGTTTGGGATAGCCTCAGAAAGTTTGAAAAATTCCTCCAGTGATATCACAGAATTTCAAAAGGAAATCAATTTTAATTCACTTTGGTTTTTTGGGGGTTTTTTTGAGTTGGAGTCTTACTCTGTCGCCCAGACTGGAGTACAGTGGCATGTTCCCAGCCACCGCAGCGTCGACCTTTGGCGATCCTTCCGCCTCAGGCTTCCAAGTGGTCGGAACTACAGGCGCGCGCTACCACACCCAGCTAGTTTTTGATTTATTGTAGAGATGAGGTCTCGCCCAGTTGCCCAGGTGGGTCTCGAACCGGCGGGCTCAGACAATTCACTCACCTCGGCCTCCCAAAGTGCTGGGATGACAGGCTGAGCCACCGAGCCCGGCCTTCACTTTGTTTTTAAAAAGAAGTATATGCTAGGCATGCTACTTTAGGAAAGAGGATTTTTAAAATCAAACCATGATAGTATTACCATATTCTAAACAATGACCAGTGGCTTTTTCCACAGTGGATTTTTATTAAGTTTAAGCCAGACGTTATACTTCGTTCTCAGGGGTACTAAAATGGGGAAAATATGTATGTTCGTTTTAGAAAACTGTACATTAATTTCTGTTCTTACCTACCCATATTGGACTTGAGGCTGATTTCCAGTTGCATGGATCTTCTCAGGTTTCCTCCATCGGAAAACGGCTGGACGTGAGGGAGGGCTGCAGTATCCAGCTGTGCACGACTCCAAGGCCAAGGAGAAGCGGGGCAGAGGAGGGTAGCAAGTAGCACTTGCCCTAAGCCAGTAGCCATTTCAGGGTGGCTCTCAAAGACCAAAGAAAGTCTCAGCTTTTGGGCCTCACACAGCACCATAAGCATTATCAAGAGCTATTTGCCCGTGGTGATGTGCAGGGAACAGACACAGGTGCAGGCTGATGTCCTTTCTAGCCTTGGGGCCTTGAGCTTGATTAAGACTCTTCCAAGGCAATGGAGACTATGGCTCCAGTTATGGCCAAAACCAGTGTGTTAGTTTCCTATTGATCCTATAACAAGTTGCCACAGTTTAGTGGTCTGAAACAACATAACCTTATCATTTTACAGTTTTGAAGATTGGAAGTCCGAAATGGGTCTGACTGGCTGAAAGTGTTGACAGAGCTGTATCCCTTTCCGAAGACTGGGAGAACCTGTTTTCCTGCCCTTTCCAGCTGCTAGAGGCTACCTGCATTCTTTGGCTTGTGGCCCCTTCCATGCTCCAAGCCAGTAATGACTTGTTATTTCACATTGCTTCATTCTGACTTTTTTTTTTTGAGTTGGAGTCTGACTCCGTCGCCCAGGTGGAACGATCCTTCCACCTCAGCCTTCCAAGTAGCCGGAACTACAGGTGTGGGCTGCCACACCCGGCTAATTTTTTTTTTTTAATCATAGGGATGAGTTTTCACCAAGTTGCCCAGGCTGGTCTCGAACCTGCAGACTCAGGCAATCTACTTGCCTCAGCCTCCCAAAGTGCTGAGATTACAGGCTGAGCCACTGGAGCCTGGCCAACTCTGACTTTTTAATCTCCTGTCCACCTGGCTAGTCCACAACAGCTGTTGGCAACCTTTGCCATGTGATGTAACATACTCAGAGGTTCGTGGGTTTAGTACCTGGACGTCTTTGGAAGGCCATTGTCCTGCCAACCATAGCCAATATCTAGAACAAGTGTTCATCAGCTGCTCCCAGAAACTGCCACCTTGCAGAGGGCATCTTCACCTTCTGAGACATGAGGATGACCCAAGAACCATGCTCTTTCATTTATTTTTTTATTTTTATTTTTTGTAGGGATGAGGTCTCACCAAGTTGCCCGGTCTGGTCTCGAACCTGTGGGCTCGGGCAATTCACTCGCCTTGGCCTTCCAAAGTGCTGGGACTACAGGCTGAGCCACTGAGCCCAACCTATTTGTTCTTAGTACCATGCAACTCTCACAAGTATTTATTGAGGGTCATGTGTCTTAGATAGCCATGGCGGACACTAGAGTGTGCAAAATAAACAAGATTCCTAAACTTGTTTATAGACCAGAGGTGATGCAGGATATCAGCACTGGGATCTAAATATAAAACAAACAGTCACGTGACTAAATGATAAGTTTTAAAAAGCTGTAACAAGTTCTGTTAAGGAAAAGTTCAGGATGCCTTGTGAGGATTTAGGGTGTTATTGACCTAATCCAGGAAGCCAGAAAGTCTTTGCCTTGACACTGGTGTTTGAGCAGGAAGACAAGGTAGTGGATGCTGAAGAGTGCAGAGGAGCGCGGCATGTGCAAAGGCCCTGCGATGGGAGGGAGTGTGGCAGCCTGAAGGAACTGAAGGAGGTCCAGCCTGGTTGGAGATTAGATGCCAGAGGGAGCCTTTGGCTCAAGGTAAAGCTAGCATGACTGGCGAGTGCCAAAACATGCTGGGAAAGGCACTGTAAGCCAGGCAAACAGCCTCATAAACTTGGTGTTGAAAGCATTGAGTTTTATTTATTTATTTATTTATTTATTTTTTGAGTGGGAGTCTCACTCGGTCGCCCAGACTGGAGTGCAGTGGCTGCTCCCGGCCACCACAGCCTCGACCTGCTGGGCTCTGGCGATCCTTCCGCCTCAACCTCCCGAGTAGCCAGAATTACAGGCATGTGCTACCACGCCCGGCTGATTTTTTGATTTATTGTAGGGATGAGGTCTCGCTGCCCAGGCGGGTCTCGAACCCGCGGGCTCGGGCAGTCCACTCACCTCAGCTTCCCAAAGGCGCGGGATTACAGGCTGAGCCGCTGAGCCCGGCTGCATTTGAGTTTTAAAAGAGGGGTCTGGCAATGGACTGTTTACAAGATGCCTTTAGCTGCAGCTGCTGTGTGGAAAACGGGGTGCAATGAGGCCAGAATAGCAGACTGTAACTGACTATATGTGTGTGTGTGTGTGTGTGTGTGTGTGTGTGTGTGTGTGTGTACACACACACACACACACCCACACACGGAGACACTTGACTGTGATGACTCAGTCAGGGGGCGCGCTGGCATGGAGTGGGTAGAGCCCAGTGACGCTGCCCACCGTCTTCCAGCACGCAGGGCAGCCCCATGCCAACCACGGCTCAGGCCTCAAGCGGCAGTGACACTGAAGCTGAGAAGCCGTTTCGAAGGCTGCCGGAGGCGGACAAGCCAGCTGAGTGCCAGGAGGGCGTGGCTTGAGAAGGCTCAGAGGGTGAATGTCAAGCGAAATGAGCCTGAAAACGAGCCGGACTTTAAAGATGAGGCCAAGGCTGGTGACCAAAGTAACAGTATCTGTTGGCAGGGAGGGGGCAGAAGCTTTTTAAGACAAGGCCGAAGAGTAGGAGAATGAGAAAATGGAGACAGCGGGTGTAGACGACTCTACAGTGTCTACTGTATAAGGCAACAGTTGGAGGTTAGGTTATTTCTGCGTTTTGAAGATGAGAGGAGGCATCTGAACATCTGAAAATGTTAGTATCCCCATCCAGGAGAGGTGAGGCAGGGGCGGGCTGGGGTAGAGATGGGGCGGGAGGGGTGGCTTCATCCTGGAAGAGTGGCTTCTGCCGTCACAGAAGGGGAAAGGGAGAGGGGGCTCACTCTACCCGCTGGGCCCAAGGGTCTCCCTTGGCGGCTGCCCCTCCCAGGCTGGGGAAGTGAGGACGACTCGGGGAGGGGAGTCAGCGGCAGCTTGCTAATCCCAAGCCTGTCTCGTCCCTCCAAGTCAGGGAAGCGTTTGGTTTGGGATGTGTTGGGCCAGTAGTGAAGGTTCTGGGAGACCCATGTACCCTCACCTGTTGGGACAGGGACACCACACGGGCCCGGTTTCTGAAAAGGGGCTATCACCGGGAGCATGGAGCAAACTTTCACTTTGGAATCAACAGTGCAGTTACTTTTTTCCCTCCAGTTTTCTTGCATGTTCTTTGGAGCAGTTTCTTCTGACCAGCAAGAACGCTTCAAGCACCCTTTCGACAGTCTGGCAAGTGACAGTGAAGAGGAGGTGAATAATGGCAGTTTCTCACATTCTGAGGCTTAATGAGGGCTGAGTTGGCCAACAGTCCAGTTAGGGCTCCCGTGCACGCCAAGCACGAGTTCTCATGTGTGTGTGGAAGACACGGCCCCCGGCTTCCTTGAGGCAGAGGATGGGCTTCTGCTTTTTCAAACATCATCTCGTGCAGCCACACCTCTAGAAATGGCTGCCTGTCAAGTCTACGCAAGTTGTTTTAAATCATTATGCTACTTGGGAGGCAGAAGAGTTTTCTGTGCAGGAAAAAAAAGTCCATTAGTCCTTCAATTCAATGCACGTTCAGCCCAGAGCTTGTAATATTTTCTTTGCCAGTTTTATAAAGGTATTTAAGTTTTCTTCAACAGCTATGTGGAGTGCGTCAAGATGGTTTGAAGCAGAATTTTGTGATCAGTAGTCAGGTATTTTTGCATCTGATTGCAAACATTTGGGTTTTAGTGCTTTCAGAAATAGCAAGTTATGCAAGCTTTTCTCATGTAATATCATGACTCTTTTATCCATCGTTTTTAAAGATTTTTAGTAAAATAACCCTTGGAAAAAAGATCATGAATAGAAATACAGAGTCACCCCTCACTTTGGAATCTTTTTATATATTGTAAATTTTATTTCATAGCCTTAAGTTGTCCTCATTTTCAGATGTGGTTTTTTATTTTTCAGTGTGTTGCAGAAAGAATTTAATGGAAGTGATGCGAAATAATTTTATATTATCTGACATAAGAAAGCAACCTCCACTGCCAAGAAAGCCTGGGTTTGTAGTGGAATGAGGTGGAAGACAATGTCTATGTTCTTTGGCCTTTTAAGAATTAGCTTTTCACCTGCACAAATGGACTAAAAAGTATGGCACAAAAATATTGTTATGTAACATCTTGTGGTGTGTGCCTCTCCCTCCCCCATACCTGTTTACAGCCAATTAACCATAACTCAACAAACAAGACTTTTGTAACATCTTATTGTTAAGTCTTTATGAAACCATCAAACCATAAGGAAGTGTTCATGGAAGCAGTTGTTCTTTAGTTTTTGTGAGAAATTCATAAAGGTGGCTGTGGATGCATGCTTTAGAACTGTGAATAGAGTTCCAACTGAAACCAGAATGAATTTGGCTCTTGTAGCTTGGTAATGAGTCATAGTTACCCATAATAACCTAATAAAAACTCCAGTTCATCCCAAGATGTTTCTCAGTGAATGAAAATGGGCTTTCACCAAGCTTTTTGTGGAAACTGGCAGTGCCCACATCAGTTCAACGAGGTCCTTGCACACCGTAGGCTGGCGATCTCTGTGTCTTATGTTTACGCTGAGGATCAACACTGAATTTCTGGCATTCCCAACACAAGCAGATGACTGCGCAGTTGTGTACACAGGAGTAGTTCTGTAGGTCTCCTGCTGAGGATGACATTTCTGGTTCATTCGTCGGCAAGGGGGTTTAGGCCAAGAAGGCATCAGCCTTGTAAAAGCCTAGATGCAGCACTTTTCCATAAAAGATTGGTCACACTGTTGTGCACACTTTGGAACTTAGGATCTGGATACAGAATGCTGAGTTTAAATACAGTCATGTGCCACATGATGATGTTTCAGTCAATAATGGCCCATACAAAGGACAGCGGTCCCTTAAGATCAGAGTGGAGCTGCCCTGTAAGGTGTGGACCAGTTTAAATCTTTCATGCCATATTTTCAGTGGACTTTTTCTGTGTTTAGATGTGTGTGGGTACACAAATACTTACCGTTGTGTTACAGTTGCCTACAGCATTCAGTACAGTCACATGCTGGACAGGTTTGGAGTCTAGGAGCACCAGGCTACACCACAACCCGGGTGTGCAGGCTGTGCCATCTAGGTTTGTGCAAGGACACTCTATGACGGCCACACAATGACAGAACCACTAAGGACATATCTGCCAGTCACAGCTCTATCATTAAGTGATGCATGAGTATACACCGGATTTTTTGGGTGGCTTCCTTCTATACTGTCTGGAAGGGGCAAAGCCGCAGCTGGGAAAACTTCTGTATTTGACAGTGATCAGTGCATTTTTATGAATTTTTGAGGGAGATAAACTGATGTGAACCAGTTGGTGACAAAGATGAAATTCAGGTAAAGTAGTCAAGGACAAGAGATGGCTCTGAAATGCAGATTCACGGCTAGACTGACTAGAAGGCTTGGAAAGGAGGACCTGGTAGAGACCAACAGACTCAATGTCAAAGGCTGGTGTCTTTCTTAGTTACTATTCAAACCAAGGAGTACAAAGATTAGTATAAATACTATATTTATTAAATATCTTTACAGTTTATTTAAATGTATTTACAGAACTATTCCTGCATAAATTATACTTCAGACATCCAATTCAGGTAATTGCCTCTCGGGTAAGACAAATAACGAGAGTCTCAACAGAAAAAAGCAGCTCATTAGTACACAGATTCAAATTTGCCTCATTATTTAGCCATCTTTGCCACACACTACCTGCTAACAGTTACAGCTTTGACATGGACACTGTTTAGTTGAGAGGCTCAATTTTGCAAAGAATGTAGTTTTTTTAAATAAATAGAATCCAAATGTTTTCTGCTTCATAGTTCATTTTGCAAGTAGATTTTGGTTTTTTGATATTGTAAAATTTGTTAAATGCAAAAATGTGATAGTTTCCAGAGAAACTGAATGCTGTAGCTTCTACCAAAGATAGCTGGTGTAAGGTGACAAGGAACCATGAACTTATCCCCAAGTACAAACGCTAACCTTGTTTACAATCTCCCAAACGCTTGAAGCTAACTCAGTAAGCTCCCATGATCCCTGCCTTGGTACTTGGTGTGGTGGGCTAGTGGTACTGAAGGTGGTTCAGGGCTACTGTTCGACTCAGAACAGACAGAACTGACAAGAGAGGATGCTCTCCCATCATGCAAGCGTGAACTCGAGTTTCTAATCTAGACATAGCCCAGCCCCCAGACATGCACACCTGGAATGGATTCTCTTGCGATTCAGTACCCGTCAACCATGTCAAGCAAGCACAGTAACTCAGGGCTCATAACCTGTTCTCCGCCTCCATTTCTTCTATCAATTTTAAGAGCCTATGGACTCCACTGCATCTCCGTTTGGTAACGTCATTTTTGTGCGCAGGCAGCTTAAGTTCATAGGAAGAAATAAGGTTCTGATATGTTTAGAGTGCACATTTTAAAACAGAACAAAATAAAAATTTCAAGCATGTGATAAAAATATTGATTTTTATAATACAGTATTGCTTTATAAATATAGATGGAAAAGCTATAAACTTTACTGGTCTTTGGTGCATCCAGAGAGGGATAATTTGCTATTGGTAAATTAGAAATCCAAATTTTCTCTTTTGTTATAAAAGTTCATTACATGAGGCAAGTGTGTGTGTGTGTGTGTGTGTGTGTGTGTGTGTGTGTGTGTGTACTGCTTGATTTAAAATACAATTAACACACACATCAGGTTCAGAACCAGACCCACCAAGTGGTACAGCTCAGTCACAGCCCACGGAAGCTTGGGTCTGTGACCTGGAAAATTCTAGTATGGGTCCAACACAAGCTTCTGATCACTGAGAGCAGGAGGAGAGTTACTCGTTAAGCAGCACTCCAGCCGTCCCCAGCAGTCACAAATGAAGTGCACAACACAAAAAGGACAGGGGAAGAAGAAAACAGAAAATATTTTATGTCACTAATCTACAAGCCAGGCCACAGTCAATTCCACTGTGAATATCAATTCTTGTCCCACTACTTTCAATGTTACTGGAAAAAATGCACTGTCGATTTCTAACAACCATCTCTCAAAAAAGCAAGCTGATGAAATGAGTTGTGTAAAACACCCCCAATCTAGCCTTACAAGGATTGTGTTTGATGAGTTTAACAAGAGCAGAGAAAAACCAGTAACTTGAGGAGCACTGCTCTTGCCAGGAATTAAATGTAGACGTTGGAAAATGAATGCAAAAATATATCCCAATCATAAGGCTACATACCTCTGACCAAAAATAGTTAAAAACCCCAACAAAAGAGCTGAAGTAGTCAGTCCTATAAATGAATTCCTTCTAGCAAAACCCTTCTGGATGCAACTTTCTTTACTTTTAAAAATACACAGAGACTGCCAATCGTTTGTGCAAAACAAATACTCCGCCACTCAGGCTTCCGTTTCCGCCCGGCAGGACGATGTCCCCCTCCACACCCCCACCCTGCCCCCCAGCTCCTCCACCCACCAAAGAATCCTGTTTTGTCAAGTTAGGGTAGTTAAGGCATTCTGACATGTCATTAAAGGTGATTCAAAATAGATATCTAACATTAGGCCAATTTAGGAATAGTAGATAAATTACTGAACGGCTTACAAATGAATAACTCATTCTTATTATAAATGAAATGCCTGTTACAAGCATGATGCATTGAAATATAGTAATGACATGTACATGGTACATGTTAAACAATTTAAATAAAACAAAAGCTTGACAGTTACTCAAATATACAGTACAAATTCACAAACAAAATCTTTTAAAACAAGTTGAGGTAACCTCAAACATAAGTTTTAATGCAATAAACCAGGGAGTCAGTATCTCCTTTAGAGAAAAAGACTTTCTGTATTCTCCTGAAGTAGATTCTCATCAGGTTTAATTGCATTCTCATCTATACACCAATGTTACCTGACTTATATATAAAACATGGCTTTAATTTAAAGATTTCTAAGTATATATTTTTTTCTACCACCAAGTTAATGAAGGAAAAAAACTGACCCAAAAATATATATCTTTACAGCAGTCAACTTGTACACAAACCTTAAAAATACGCTTGAGCTTGCAGATAATGGGAAAACCAAATGCGGGGTAACTTCATAAGGAAACTACACACTGCAAAATGGCTATTCGGAAACTGTAAACATTAAGCTTGATTCAGAAACCCCTAGCCGCTGCCTGGGGTCATCGCAAATGTCAGATCATCACCAGGAGTTTTCCTCGTGGACGGCGGTGCTGCTGCCACTGCACACAGTGCTCTTTCCACGAGGACTCACAGAATTTGGTGCATGCTCTAGAGAAAGCAAGGCTACTCATAAAAGGTCTGCGAGTAAGACTATGGATAGGTAGCATGACCATTAAAAGCCAGAAGAATTCAAAGTTACAGCTGCCCGTTCTCAGCCCAGTGGGCCTGTGGGCCAAGAGCTCCCGTGCAGGGGCATCCTCTTGACAGGACGGGAGGCGGGAAAGTCACTTCAGCCATAACATGAAGTTTCGAGGCTTTGAGGGATGCTGCAACTTTAAGTAATGTTTCCATTAAAAAAATATGGGCAAGGAGTCTCCCCACCCCTCCTGGAGATTAGGCCACAGCCTGTGGATTTGGACTAACCAATGAACTGCCAAACATTCCATCACAGGAACACAATTACACATCTTTTTAAAAGCATGAAATGTTTGCATCCATAGAACTAAAATGTACTTTTCTTCCAATTTGTAACAAAAAAGCTCCTGGGATCAAAATGTTACAACCCAAAGCAATATTTTAGAGCAGAATTGTAAGCCCCTGAAAAATAGGAGTTTATAACAAAAACATAAAGCCACATCCCATTATCGTAACATAGACTATGCTTGTGGAGTACACACGAAACATTTCTTTTGATGAAGAATGTATGTTTCTAGTAGATGTGTCATTACAATTTGTGTTAGACTTTTAAAATCCCTTTAGCACACTGTGATTCTGAATTCACTTTACCCACATTACTCATTTTCAATACTTCGACTACTTTTGAAAAGTAACAGCCATAGTGGCACTGAACACCTCCACAATCCCATCACGGAAGGGACGATGAGACACGAAGGCCAATCTTCAAATTCTGACTCGCCTCAACTGCCGGCAGGTATGAGCTAGTGAATGACAGTGGTTCTCAACAAAGATCTCAGTGGGTCTCAAAAGACAGGCGAAAGACTTCTATCACTGGCCATTGAGATCAGCGGCAAACAAACGTGGTCCTGCCAGCAGGATCAGCACACGCGGCAGGGAGATTTGGGGCGATGAAAGGGAAGGCAGGAGCTGACAGTCAGTCTGTATACTCGGCCACTATGGAGAGAAGGACGGTTATGTCATCTGGCTTTCCACCTATAATGAAGACGAAAATCTATTAATATACTTTAAAGGGACAAGTAGGCCGGGTGCAGTGGCTCAGCCTGTAATCCCAGCACTTTGGGAAGCTGAGGCAAGAGGACTGCCTGAGCCCAGAGGTTCGAGACCAGCTTGGGCAACTTGCTGAAACCGCGTTTCCACAATAAATTGTGTACACACACACACACACGCACAAAACTAGCTGGATATGGTGTTGTACGTCTGTAGTTCCAGGTACTTGAAAGGTTGAGGCGGAAGGATCGCCTAAGCCCAGCAGGTTGAGGCTGCGGTGGCCGTGAGCAAGCCATTGCACTCCAGCCTGGGTGACAAGAGTGACTCCAACTCAAAAAATAAAAATAAAAGGACAAGTAAGTAAAAAAAAGTGGACCTAAATGGGCATAGGGGTTGTAATCCCCAGTGTTATGGGAGGCCAAGGCAGGAGAATCATTTAAGGCCGGGAGTTCAAGACTAGACTAGACAACATAGTGAGTCTCATCTCTTCAAAAAATAAAATAAAATAAAAAATTAGCTGGTATGATGGTACGTGCTTGTAGTCCCAACTACTTGAGAGACCAAGGTGGGTTAGTTACTTGCACCCAGGAGTTCGAGGTTACAGTGGGCTATGACTGTACTAGCCTGGGTGATGGGGAGAGACTCTCTCTCTAAAAAAGTAAATAAAATAAAAAAATAAGTCTTAAAAAATATGGGCCTAGCTGGGCTCGGTGGCTCAGCCTGTAATCCCGCGCCTTTGGGAGGCTGAGGTGAGTGGATTGCCTGAGCCCGCGGGTTCGAGACCCGCCTGGGCAGCGAGACCTCATCTCTACATTAAATCAAAAAATCAGCTGGGCGTGGTAGCGCATGCCTGTAATTCCAGCTACTCGGAAGGCTGAGGCGGAAGGATCGCCGGAGCCAACAGGTCGAGGCTGCAGTGGCCGGGAGTGGCCACTGCACTCCAGTCTGGGTGACAGAGTGAGACTCCAACTCAAAAAAAAAAAAAAAAACACAACAACAAAAAAAGCCAGGCTCGGTGGCTCAGCCTGTAATCCTGCGCCTTGGGAGGCTGAGGTGAGTGGATGCCTGAGTCCACGGGTTCGAGACCCGCCTGGGCAACTTGGCGAGACCTCTTCTCCACAATAAATCAAAAAATTAGCCGGGCGTGGCAGCGCACACCTGTAGTTCCAGCTACTTGGAAGGCTGAGGCGGAAGGATCACCGGAGCCCAGCAGGTCGAGGCTGCGGTGGCCGGGAGTGGCCACTGCACTCCAGTCTGGGTGACAGAGTGAGACTCCAACTCAAAAAAAAAAAAAAACACAACAACAAAAAAAGCCAGGCTCGGTGGCTCAGCCTGTAATCCTGCGCCTTGGGAGGCTGAGGTGAGTGGATGCCTGAGTCCACGGGTTCGAGACCCGCCTGGGCAACTTGGCGAGACCTCTTCTCCACAATAAATCAAAAAATTAGCCGGGCGTGGCAGCGCACACCTGTAGTTCCAGCTACTTGGAAGGCTGAGGCGGAAGATCGCCGGAGCCCAGGAGGTCAAGGCTGCCGTGGCTGGGAGCAGCCACTGCACTCCAGTCTGGGTGACAGAGTGAGACTCCAACTCAAAAAAAAAAGAAAAGGGCCTAAATAAGTACTGGAAGTTTACAGCCACACCACCCAGCATGTGCCTGATCTCGCCTGACCCTGGAAGTACTAGAAGACAAGTGCTTGCATTTCAGGCAGTTTGGTTTGTCAGTATACCCTCGTAGGAAAAGAAATATCTAATAAAGAAAAACAGCTAAATAGGAAATTACATGTAATTTAACCAAAGCTAAAAAAAATTTTCTCCGCTCCTTTACAACGAGTGCTGTGAAAATGGCCACCACATTCTCTGTTTACATCAATCACAGTCCGTCTGACATGTGTCTGCCACAATCCTAATGTGGACAGACATACCCCAGTGTTTTGAAACTAGGAATACCTGTCTATCCTAATCTGCCACACAGCTACAGTGTGTGCTTTTTGTCTATTTTAACATTTCCTGGAGGGCTAAGAAATGCTTCACATGTCGTAACATTACACTGGCACGGAACTGACCTAGTCTACTCGTCCTGCTATGCTAGCACCAACATGTACTCCCAGTCTGAGACAGAGTCAGGGCTCCCAAAGTCGCAGCAGACAGAAGGACTCTTCAGTCAAGGACAGTCTCACATTGTTTGCCTTTTCCAAACCTGCTGGGGCAATCTGGCAGGCAAAAACTGTCAGCGAGCTCCACAAAGCCAAGGGGGAAGCAGAATGTCAGACACGTGAAGGGCAGAATGTTCACCTGTTAGGCACGTCCAGGCCCTCCAGGCCCAGCTCGGAGGCCTCTGGGCTCAGGTCCCAGCAGAGCCGCGGCCAGCAAGGGTCAGCCCTGAAGGGCATGCTCCATGGGGGACACAACGACAGGCGCTTGCTTGTGCCCTGCTGACCCGGTGCATGGCCAGGAGAGGACACCCATAGGTTCACCCGGAGCCCAGAACGCTCCCACCCTACCAACACAACGTCCCCAGTCAGTTTCCATGACCTTTCCAAAGAATGCTCACCTCTCACATTCAATCCGTTGTCACATGCAAACTGTGCAAAAGGTGACATATAATTTGGGTCATAGGCCAGCTCGTGAGCTTGCTCAGCAATGCTTCTTGCAGTTTGTTGTATACTCTCGTAATTGGAATTCTAAGATGAAAGGAGAGGAGTTATTTTTACCGTAATACCTCACATGGCTTCTGCAGGCAAGTATATTTCCTTTTAAGACAGTACATTGATCCAGCCACATTTTCCACCATTCAAGTCTTATTTGCATTAGGGAAGACATTAAAGCAAGATGCCCTAATATGAATGAGACCATCAGTCGGTTTGCATAAGGTATCCATCAGAAACTCCTTTGCTGAGGGGGCCATGGGCCCTGAAGTTTGGGTTTTCATTTTTGCCCTTTTCCCATTTGACATTCTTAAGGTGTTCTTGCTATAATGGGAAAAGGTGGATTCTGAGAGCATTTTCAGGATGACCTCAAAAGTTTCCCTGCTTAGGAATGCACCCCTGGCCAATCACAATTCTGCTCTCCGAGTAAGGGTTGCCAGTTGTCCCACTGAAAAGACCTTCCGGGTTGCTTTGATCATGATGAAAGACTCCTCCCAGCGGTGTAATCCAGAGCCACACCCTCACCGGTGCTGCAGGCAGATGGGGATGGGAGCACAGGCCCCTCTGAGCGCAGGTTTGCACCAGGTTTGCACCGGCCTCTGTGAGCACTCACAGGTCTTCGGACGCCACCTCACAGAGGCCTTCCCCAACCCACGTGTCTATAGCAGCGGCCCCTCTGCTCCTGCTCCCTCCCCCATGCCGCATTCTTCCTATTTATCACTAGCCTTCTGGCGTGCTCTGTGCTACCTATTTTTCCCCACTACCCTGTACTGTAAGCTCCATGTGGGCAACTATTCTGTCACCAGAGAGTCCACTGCCTGCTGCAAGTAAGCGCCTAACATTGACTGAATGCCACAGGCAAGGCTTGGTGCTAAGGACTTCCATAACTGGTCTTATCCTCACTGAAGCCTAAAAAATAGATCCTTATTACTCCTCATTTTACAGGTGAGGAAAATAGTGCTTACACAGTTCTAAGAAAAGCACCCAAAGTCCTACTGGTTAGAGGGAAAGTACTTATGAGAAAAGACTACTTTTTCTCAGAGTTAACACCTTTACAAAGCCAGGAAATTAGGAAAAGGCCGTTTTTCACCTCCTTCCACTGTGTGTGGGAGAAGCCTGCTTAGTTACAGGTGACAGGTCAGGTCACAGGAAGGCTCCCGGCTGCCTGCCACTCTTGGCTGCTGCCTTGACTGGCTCTGGTATGACTACTTCCTGTCCTTCCTAGCCTCAACACCTACTGGCTGTGTTAGAAGAATCAACGCAGAAAAAGACAAGCAGGACCCAACACTATAAATACAAACAAGAAATGTCTTCATCTGGACTTTTCCCACTCTTGCCACCCCACAAAGGCTTGGGTAGGAAGCCTCTTTTCCCAAGTGATCTAACAGTGAATATTTCCATTTACAGTTGTTTGAAATATTAGAACTAGCATTATTTTCCTAATGTTCACAAAATAGCCATTTCCAAAACTACAAAGAGATAATGCAACTGAATCAATAAAACACAGCTGTCCAGACAGGGTCACTGTTTCCAAGAGCTAACCTTGAGTTAATTACCTTTAACTTTTTTAGCTCCTGAAGGATCATATAATCAGGCATGTTGTCAAAGAGTCCATCTGTCGCCGTCAAGATGATGTCTCCTAACTGGACATCAAAAGATGTGCTATCAGCAGCATCCGGGCTGTTGCAAGGACAAGGGAGGGGCAAAGTTAAGAAAGCCCTTAGAGAATGGTTCAGTTTCCTACAGGCAGTATTGTCCAATAGTTCTTCTTTAAGAAAAACGAATCTATAATCATTGAAGTCAATTAAAATAAAGTTATTCTGAAATTCTTAACCTTGAAAAACATTAATTGAAAATTCGAAAATGTTTCAAAAGCTTGTAACTGGAACTACCAAGCAAAACTGAGTGATGGGCAGTCACACGGCTTGCAAGGAAGACGAGTTCTTATGTGAGTCAGATCCAACATGCCTCTAAAAACCCTAGTGGAAATGAGTCTGTGTTTCCTGATTCTTCAGAGCCAAATTCCATCCTCTCTTACTCACTTTCCACTCATCGGTTTCCCTGCACGCCTGGGTCTGGCTGTTAGACGTGTGCTCCCGTCAGGGCATGATGAGCGCCCCTGGACGAGAGCTCGTCAAGCCTTAAGAATGAACTCGCAGGCTGGGCTCGGTGGCTCAGCCTGTAATCCCAGCACTTTGGGAGGCTGAGACGAGTGGATTGCCTGAGCCCATGGGTTCAAGACCAGTCCAGCCAACTTGGTGAGACTTCGTCTCTACAATAAATCAAAAATGAGCTGGGCGTGGTAGCACGTGTCTGTAGTTCCGGCTACTTGGAAGGTTCACTAGAGACCAGCAGGTGGACGCTGGGGTGGCCATGAGTGTGTCACTGCACTTCAGTCTAGGCGATGGAGTGAGACTCCAACTCAAAAAAAAAAATCAATAAATTAATAAAAGAATCAACTCACAGGAGATCTCTACAAAGCTTCTGTACAGGGAGGTCTCTGTGTCTCCCAGGGATCACAAAGTAATTGTCATGCACGGGCACTTATTAGTGTGCCTGGCACATGGTAGGTCTTCCAGAAATATCTGCTGAATAACTAAATGAATGAAGAAACAAAGTATTTAACCCTACAAATTGGAGGAAAAAAACTTCAATATATTTTTGAGGGAAGAAAGCAACCATTTCAGTAAAAAGAAGGAGACACACAGATGTGGATGCTTCTATATACAAAGAATAAACCTGGAGAGACTCAAAGAAACTGCTCACAGTGGCCGCCTCTCAGGAGAGAATGTGTGGCTGGGGGCAGGGAGGGGAGATAGGTTTCTCATGACATTTTTTGGTATATAACTTTAAAAAAAAAGATGCGAGAGGTGAGGGGATTGCCTGAGCCCATGGGTTCGAGACTAGCCTGGGCAACTTGGTGAGACTTCATCTCTACAATAAATCAAAAAATTAGCTGGGTGTGGTAGCATGTGCCTGTAGTTCCCGAGAGGTGGAGGGATCACCTGAGTCCAGCAGGTTTACGCTGGGGTGGTCGTGAGCATGCCACTGTGCTCCAGCCTGGGCAAGAGTGAGACTCCAACTCCAAAAAAAAAGATGCGAGATCCTTTTCTCTGACAATTCCTGATGAAAACAGACATAAGAATGGGGGAAGATTCCAGCTGGGGGGGAAATATATTCATTCAAAGAGCTTATGGCCCCCTCTGAAGCTGGTTCTTGGCCACCTCCGAAGGCCAGTTGCTTTGCTTCCAGGCCTCTCAGGGGAGGGAAGGGTGAGATCCAAAAATTGGCCATAACCTGTAATTAGGGAAGAGCCAGGAAAAAAATTCAGACACTGACCCAGAAGGGAGGGGCCAGACCTAAACCTAAGCTTGACAGAAAAAAACTCAACACTTGTGTAAGTAACATGGGAAAAATGTGCAAAGAAAAGGCATAAAAACAAACAACACCATGCATGCCTGCTGGAGATGACACTAAGTACACTGAGAAAACTTCTGGTTCATCTTGGCTCGACGAGGAAAAAAGTGGCACAGCTAAAAGTTCTGCAAAGTGCTGTTGCTGGGAACAAACTTTCACTTAGACATTTACATAGTATTTTGTAAAAACAGCTACTGAAGGAAAACCTGTAAGTTAAGGTTACAACAATAGTCTATAGGCAAGAGTGAACAATAACTAAGGAGAGACATGCAGCAGGAAAAAGACTAAAATTGGTGGAAATCAGGTCGATTTTTTCTATGGAATAAGAAACAATGCAAGACACTCTCATCTGCTCAGTCTTTGAAAACTAATCAGATTCTGGAAGTGTGGATTAATGACCAGGTTGGCACTGGCGCTGTTTTATGCGGAGGTTTGCTTTCCCCAGGAGTGTCCTCTGCTGCTCTGCCTGTGAGAGTCTTGCTCCCTCCCGCTGGACGGTTCGTTCTCTCCTAATGCTCCCACCCATGAGCTTGGTGTTCCGCCAGCTGCAGTTTTGCCCATTTTGACTGAACATACTGTGCTGCTGGAAACTTTTGACTGCACTAAAATACGAGCTGAAATCTCACGCTAGCGCACTGTCTCTGGGCTCCAGGGGAAGCCACCTCCATCTTACTGGCAGGCCTCCTGGTCAGACAGTCCCAAAGACTATGTGTAAGATACACAGGGCCACTAGCACCCAGGAGTCCACAAGAGTCCAATGAAAGAAAAGTAAAGCAGCACTCTCCCCAAACTGTTGTCTAAGCTCAGTGACCACTAAGGCTCTGGGGTTCTCCCCACTCCAATATGACTAATAGTATTACAGCCAACCGAAGAAGAACCTGCAAATCAAACATCCTTCCACTCAGGGCAACCTGCCTGCGCCTGAAAGTAAAGTGTTTCCCTGTCTCTAAGAGTCAGTGGCAGACTTTCTAGATGGGCAGTACTGAATGACTAATTATATAGTATGCTCATTCCAGTTAAAAGATGGCAGTAATGCCGGGCTCGGTGGCTCAGCCTGTATGTATTCCCGCGCTTTGGGAGGCTGAGGTGAGTGGATTGCCTGAGCCCACGGGTTCGAGACCCGCCTGGGCAGCTTGGCAAGACCTCATTTCTACAATAAATCAAAAAATTAGCTGGGCGTGGTAGTGCGCTCCTGTAGTTCCAGCTACTTGGAAGGCTGAGGCAGAAGGATCGCCGGAGTCCAGCAGGTCGAGGCTGCGGTGGCCAGAAGCGGCCACTGCACTCCAGTCTGGGCAACAGAGGAGACTCCAACTCAAAAAAAAAGATGGCAGTAATAATCATTTTATCTTAGATTGGACTTAAGAGCTGGTTTAATGAGAGCTATTAAGTAGAGACAACAAGCATTTGCTAGAATGCTTACATTGTAACAAAAGGTTCACTGCCCATTTAACAACATTTATGAACTGCCAGTGACGTCTGTGCCAAGTCCTATAAGTAAGTGTGTTACAGGCAGTGACATCTGACACCCTCTTAGCCTTACTCTCTATACTTATCTAAGGAAAGACAAACTGTGAAGGTTAACTCAAAGTATAAGTTGTCTTGGAAGGTTCTTGACAATTTAAAAATGAACCAAGAGAAGATGTCAGAAAGAAAAAGAGAACACCTCAGTAACACCATCACAGAACCTATCCAAGGCTACTTTTTTTTTTTAAAGACATGGGTTTCGCTATGTTCCCAGGTTTTGCTATGTGACATCAAGCTCAAGTGGTTCTTCTGCCTTAGCCTCCTGAGTTGCTGGGACTGTGGGCGTGTGCCACCATGCCTGGCTCTACACCACTTTTGATTCTGTTTCCTGCAGGTTCTATTTGATACATGTAATAAGAGGGTCTGAGAATCAGGAAGTTATTCTGATAAAGCAGATGTCTCTGCATGCTTTTCTAACAATGTATGCAAAACCTTGTACTGGCAATGGCATGCATGAACAATAACTCACTTCTCCAGCACAGTTTAACAAATGCACTGTATACATCATGTGGTACTGGCATGAAAAATTAGTATTTGGTAAGCTGAAATAGCATTTTCACAGTACTGTCAAATTATTGAGTGTTTAATCAGAATTCAGTTTGGCTGTATTACCTAGTTCAAATAAAATCTCTTTAAAAGGCAAACTCAAAGGTCCTTGTGATGAGAACATTCTCCCACAAAAATGGAAAATGCCTATCCCACTGCGCTCGAGGGGGACAGGTGGGGACCTGGGGAGGAAGGGGGGAGACCTGCTCACACTTAATGGCTGGGAGGGGGTTACCTGTCACTCAAGACGACTCCCTCGGCCTCAGGGGGGGCGATTGAGAGCTGGAAGGGAGTGTTGAAGTAATGCTGCTGCTCATCTGATCGGTGTACAACTTCGCCGCCCCTGACAACCAGAAAGCCCGAATCGCCCAGGTTTGCCGTGTGTAAGCGGTGGCTAGTTCTGTCCAGCACCACGATGCAGGCAGTGCTGCTACCTAGAAGCAAAAATGATCTCCATTGATTTTCTCTTCCTGGGCTGCCCTGGCACACACATGTTAATCATGTGACCCCAAAGAGCAACATGCCATCATTTGAATCTCCTTTACCCAAACAGGACCCTTCTTGGTTACACTCCACATACTCTATGAACGTTAACAGCCTGATCAGGGTTAGCATGGTGGGGAAAGAAAAAGGAATTTATAGGCCAAGGGTGGTGGCTCAAACTTGTAATCCCATTACTGTGGGAGGCTGAGGCGAGAGGATTGCCTGAAACCAGGGGTTCAAGACCAGCCTGGGCAACTTGGCGAGACCTTGTCTCTACAATAAATCAAAAAATTAGCCGGGCATGGTGACTGGCGCCTGTAGTTCCAGCTACTTGGAAGGTTGAGGCAGAAGGATTGCCTGAGCCCAGCAGGTTGAGGCTGGGGTGGCCGTGAGCGTGCCACTGCACTCCAGCCTGGGCAACAAGAGTGAGATGTGAGACTCCAACACACACACACACACACACACACACACACACACACACACACACACAAGAAATGTATATTATACAAATTAAATGGGCCACCGATGATCTGAATTCTTCCATGTGCTGAGACAAAAAACAATAAAAATGACTGGTATTTAGTCATATTGTTTCATTTCAATATATAATCTATGCCAAATGCTCAAAAGCATGTTGTGGAGATATTAAGTTTTAATACTTAATTGCCAGAATAAAAATGTTATGTTTTCCTGACATTTCTCATTAGTCACTGGCAGGAAGCCTTCTCCATGAAATTCACAAAGACAGGGCAAATAACTATAATTTTAAACCAGATTTCCATCTGTTGAGGTCATCAATAACCTTCCTTTACTGCAGACTAATGCCTCACTAAATAGTAACAAGATCAATTTTTGCGAGTACCTTGTGGAATCAACCTGTTCACTTTAAAGAGACCAATGTTCCAAGTGAAGAGACCACGTACCAGCCAGCAAGCAAGAAGCTCTGTGCACCTTTGCTGCACACAGCCTGCACAATCTCCCCGAGGCTGAAAAGCTAACCGTACCACTAACTAGTAGAGATCACTTTCAAGCAATAAAATTTAAACCTACACCCACCTTGACCAGAAAAATACGCAGCTCACCAAGAAATGGTCTGTAAATATTATGAAAAAATGATCAACTCACTAGTAACCCTTTTTGCCTATTAGCTTAAAAAGAATTGAAAGAAGATAATGCCTGGTAAAACGCCTGGTTGGTAAAAGTGTAGGGAGCATACTCAGTCTCATTCTGTGGTGGTGACGGCACCTAAACACACTTTCTGAAGGGCAAAATAGCCCTGAAAAATGTGCATGGTCTCCTTTGAGCTAGCAATTCTATCTGTGAGAATTTATTCTAAGGAGATAATTAGAGAGGCAGCCAAGTTGCAAGTACAAAAACATTGCTTAAGATGAGGAAAAACTGGAAACAATCTAAACACCTAAATTAAAGAAATAGTTAAATAGATTACAGTACATCCATACTGTACAAGGCTATCTACTAGCATGTAATACTTAGGAGTGCAGGCTCTGGAGTCACCCTGCCTGCACCTGAATCCTAGTTCAGCCACTTACCAGCTGTGTGACTTGGGGTGAATTTCTTAACCTCTCTTTGCCTCGGTTTCCTCATCCATAAAAGTAGGGGTTACAGTAACTATTTCACAGAGTGCTTTCTAAGGATCAAAATTAGTTAAGTCATTTCAAACACTTATAACAGACAGTGTTAGCTATTTGACAGTCATTACAATTATGATAAAGAAATAATTTGAAAAGAAAAGATGATAATTTAAGTGAAATAGATTACAAACTAGTATTACTCAAAGTTTTCTTAAAAAAGGAATGATGTCAAAACTTGAAGAACTGTACATCAAAAAGTGCAAGGTTTACTATAAGTAAATCTTTTTTTAAAAAAAAAACATAAATCTGGGCATGGTGGCTAAAGCCTGTAATCATACCACATTGGAAGGCTGAGGCAAGAGGACTGCCTGAGTCCAGGGGTTCAAGACCAGCCTGGGCAACTTGGCAAGACCTCATCTCTACAATAAATAAAAATATTAGCCAGGCATGGTGGCGCGTGCCTATAGTTCCAGCTACTTGGAAGGCTGAGGTGGAAGGATTGCCTGAGCCCAGCAGGTCAAGTCTGTGGTGGCTGTGAACGTGCCATGCATTCAGGCCTGGGCAACAGAGACTCTGACTCAAAAAAAAAAAAAGGCAATAATAGGTAAAGTCTAAACTGTCAAGATGACAGAAGCAAAACAAAACAAACAGGCTGTGGAGCCAGCAGTGTCGAATCCCAGTGTGCTATCATTTTCTAGCTGTGTGACCAAAGGCAAGTCTGTTAGTTATTCTCTCTAGGCCTGTGTCTTCCTACCAACCTCCTGGGGCTGTTGTGAGCACATAGTAGATTCAATTCAAGTTACCATTACTCGGTGCACAAACATATATAGAAAAAAAACTGGGGGCATAATCACTAAAATATGAACAGTTTTCTTAGGGGGATCATGGGGAAATTTAGTTTTTGTTATTCATTTTGTCTTAGCAAATATACAATTAAATAATTTAAAGACACTTAAATACACACATCTTTCTCATCCTAATGCTCAGAAAATCCATTTCCTTGTCATCTACAGTACATGCAATGGCACTACCCTGATGCTGATACTAAGTCATCAAAAGTCCCTATCCATTAAATGTCAAAGAAAAGAAAAACACAAGTACTGTAACTTACTGGTAGTGCTGTCAGATAGCCTGATACACAGCTTATAGTAGAGCAACACTCACCAGCAACCCTCCCTCCTAGCTAAATGCACAGAAACTCTAATAATTTGTCATGAATGGATTATTCCCCAAAAGTTCTTCTGAAAGCTGATGGGATTCGATTCTGAGAATGAAAAACTACAGATAAGTTCCACAGTCTTGAAAATGTTGCTGCAAGGACTCACATTGACTCATTATTACTCACTGACAAGCCCAGGCTATCATTTTGCTTTCCCTGTGGCAGTAACTTGCTGAATTAAAATCAAAATGGTCCTGGTGAGTGACTGAGCTTTAACATCCAAAGCAGCAGCAGCAAATGCAAATCCAGCCTCACGGAATCACCTGAGCTTGGAATACATGGTCCTCCTCTGCCTCCTCAAATCACTGATGCACGTGTGTGGCTCAGGCCCTGACAGCCTAGTACTGGGAGAAGAGCTCCTCATTCGCATGTGTTTGGAGAAAAGAGGTGCTGAGAATGACAACGCTGGATGTTCAAATGACTGACCTGTACAGACAGGCACCCAGGCAAATCCCTCACACTAAAATGGAAATATTCTGATCACTCAGCCCCTTATTTTATAAACTACTACTAAGCTTTTTGTGCACCAGAGAAAGAGATAACCTTATTAGGACTGACCCTTCAAATTCTCAAGATATGTTGGCTTCCTAAGACCTTATGAATCCACTTAAGAGTTTCTAAGGAAATATATGTCAACAATTAGCCTGTAATTTCACGGCAGACCCAAAAGCAGCTAGAAAGTCAAAGAAATAAGTGGTTGCAGCTACCAGCTTGCCCTTTATATCGGAATTGCTTTGTAGGCTTTCTAGCAATTGCTGGATTTAAAAGATTATCCAATCTTGTAAAGTTACCATTATTTACAATTATATCTAACTGAAGTTCAGTAAACCCTGTCTGGCAAAATATGCTTGGTTAGTTATAAACAGCCTAGAGACCTATACATTTTGTGGGGGGGGGTGTATCAAACATGGTAACAAAGGATTATTTCAGTATATTCAATGTAAGTATATTTCAATACTATTCAAAGTAAGAAAGCCTCTAGTATGTCCGTTATTTTATTAATATCTTTCATTGACACAAGGGTGAGAACAGGAAGGGAAGCAGGGATAGAGAAAGACTACAGCAAAACACTGAAGCTTTTAAAGTGTAAAATTGAGATAGCTATGTGTTTTGTAACTCGTTATCCCAAGTCCCAGTAAATGATGAGAGGGCAGTGGGTTGGAGATGAGGTCAGCAGAGGCACTCATGGGACTGTGCAGGAGGTAGCCCCCTGGAATCTGTGTCTACGGGCTTTCTCATCATTTAACATATAAAGCAAGGAGGTCACAGGTTAAGTGGTTTGCCCAATGTCATATGGCAAGTTGACAGAGAGATGCTAGAAATAGAATCTAGAATGTTTCACTGTGGCAGGCTAGCTGCAGATTACATGTCCAAAATAGGGGATTTAAGACAAGGCAAAATATACTGAAACTGCAAGACAAGGTTTCTTTTTAGTTAGAAGGAAAACAAGCTGGTTAACCATAGCACAAAGAAGACAGCAGAGTGACAAAGAGAGCTCCTTCTTATAGAGAATTTAAACTGAAGCAAATTCTACAACTGTGGCGATCTCCATTAATGCTGAACAGATAGATGCTCATTTTAAATGTGGATGGTGACTTGGGAGGGAGGCCTTCTAGTAGCCAGAAAGATGCTGGCAATTAGCAGAAACTTAATAATACTCTTTCTTTCTGAGAGCCTGCTTAGAAGGCCGGGTAAGTTCCCAGGAAACCATTTGATATATAAATGTAGAATCCTGGCCAAAAGATGCTCCTTTAGTATGCCAGATAGATCGTAAGTATTTGGCTTTAAGTTTTCTTTCTTCTTTCTATTTTAATTTTAGAGTTGTGGAGTACAAGTAGGGTTAGGCTGCATGCAAGTGAAGTGTGGGCTTCTAGCTGGCCCTCTTCCCTCCAGCAGTGGACTAGGCATCCATTGTGTTGCCACCTGTCCTCCCCTTTCTTCTCCCCAGCAGAGCCTGCTGACTGCTGATCCCACCCTGGTGCTAAAATGACTAGTGTTCAGGGCCCGCTTATGAGTGAGAGCATGCGGTGTTCAGTTCTTTGTTTCAGAGTTAATGTATTATGATGGTCTCCAACTACAGTCAAGTTGCTGGGAAGGTCATGATTTTGCTCTTCTTTATGGCTGCATAATATTCCATGGTGTATATATACCTGGCTATCATTAACAAGTCAAAAAGCAACAGGTGCTGGTGCAGCAGCAGAGAAAAGGGCATGCTGCTGCCTGTTGGCAGGAATATAAACCAGTCCAGCCTCTATGTAAAACAGTGTGGTGATTTATCAAAGAACTAAAAAAGGTTTTACATTTTCTACTGCAAGATCTATAGGGATCTAATTTGTGTCAAACTATTTCATGGACTAATCAGTTCTTAGCAATCTGGGGTGACTACATGAAACTTGAACCCATCACGGGTAATCAACCGAATTTTGCAAGCCAGACCCTATGCCCTTTCTTCCTTTACAACCTCTTGCTCTTCTTTTACTATATTATAGAATTCTTAAGCAATACAGTTTTAGTTTTTTATGTCATGTTTCTAAATTTCAACTTTATGGAATCAGACTCTTAGGTGGTATTCTGGAATGTCCTCTTTTCCTTTTTTTTTTTTTTGAGTCAGGGCCTCCCTCTGTTGCCCAGGTTGGAGTGCAATGGTGCCATCATGGCTTACCTCAGCCCTCAACTCCTGGGTTTGGGTGATCCTTCTGCCTTAACCTCCCAAGTAGCAGGGGTAATAAGCATGCACCAACACACATGGCTAAATTTTTAATTTTTTGCAGAGACTTGGTTGCAAGGCTGGTCTGAAATCCTGGGCTCAAGTAATTCTTCCACCTGGGCCTCCCAAAGTGCTGGGATTACAGGCGTGTCTGGCCCTTGTTTTCTTTTAGAACATACTCCTGAGTACTGCAAGCAGCTTTAAGCCATTTCTTTCACAATGCCTCTTTCTACTACTGATAGACTTTTAGGTTGTTCCGGTTTTCTACTATTATTGACAACATTGCTAGAACATTCTTGTAAATATCGCTTGGTTCACAGATGTGGAAGAGTTTCTCTAGTCTAAGGTAAATATCTAGAGTGGAATTGCTGGGGCATACTATAACTTTACTTGGTAACACCAAAGTGTTGTCCAAAGTGGGTGTATCTATTTTCATTTCCTCCAAGCAATACTAAGCATTCCCGTCAGCCCACAGCTTCTCTATCACTCTGCCTAGTAGGAAGAGCCTCAGAAAAAAGCTGGGCCGATAAACGATTTTCTTGGTTTTGTTTTTAACTGTCTAGTGAGCTTTTTTAAAGAGGAAAACACACAGGATATCTACTTACCAAGCAAAGGTACTTTATTTTGCAGCAACTCACAGTAGCTTGTGGTGAGAATTCCAATGGGATTACTCGGTACAAACCGTCCTTCTTTTACTAAACGTTCACACGTCCGCATTAGAGTCCCTGAGAACTGAGACGGATCAACACCATAGTCTCTCCAGCCTCCTACACCATCTGCAACTCCTGAAGAAAAAAAATTGCATTTAAAGGACATTCTTACCAACTGCTGAGGAATTCTTATCCCACCGCCTCTTAATGGTCAATTTCACTACATGCTATTTAGCCCGGATTTCAGAATAAAAAGTGATCGAGTTTAATGTATTATACACTAATACCCCTAAGCCACATTTTCCACTTAGAATCAAGTCTTTTACATATTGACGATTAAACCTTTGAGCTACCACAGGGTGGCATTGCCTACCAGCCAGGAGTTCAATTTCACCAGGATTATCATCTTTGTATAGAAGTATTTGAGCTATTAATACTTAGTTGTATAAGAATTAAAATTGATTTTTTAAAAAGTGCTGATGCTGGTGATACTACAATTGAGTCAGGGCCGGCAATCACTAAGAACATCAAAAGCAGCAACCTTTTAACTTCAAACATTGGCCAATAACTGTGAAATAAAGAACAAAACTGAGAACATTTCCCATGCCCTCTCCCTCCTCCCTCCAAGATAATCACTATCATGTACAGGGCAGTGCTGACCAACTCAACAGCCATTAATTACCACTGGTGGCTACTTGAGCATTTGAAATGGGGCTGAGATGTGCTGTATATAAAATACACACTGGATTTTGAAAACCTAGTATGAAAAAGGATAATATTTCTCATTAATTTTTCCATTGGGCCAGGCTCTGTGGTTCAGGATCTGTGGTTCCCAGCACCTTGGGAGCCTGCGGGTTCAAGACCAGCCCGGGCAACTTGGTGAGACCTCATCTCTACAATAAATAAAAAAAAGTTCCAGCTACTTGGAAGGCTAAGGTGGAAGGACCCCTGGAGCCCAGCAGGTCAATGCTGGGGTGGCCGTGAGCATACTACTGCACTCCAGCCTGGGCAACGGACTGAGACTTCAACTCAAAAAAAAAAAAAAAATTTTTTTCTTTTAAACAGGATTTATTGAGAAGACAGAAAAGCTCCCACAGTGGGAGGGGATCCGAAGGAGTTGCCCCACTCCAAAATTTTTAATATCGATTACATATTGAAATAATACCTTAGGCATAATGCACTAAAGATAATACATTATTACAATTAATTTCACTTTTCTTTTTAACATTATTTAATGTGAATACTAGGAAATTTTTTTTTTTTTTTTTGATTTGGAGTCTCACTCTGTTGCCCAGACTGGAGTGCAGTGGCCACTCCCAGTCACTGCAGCCTCGACCTGCTGGGCTCTGGCAATCCTTCCGCCTCAGCCTTCCGAGTAGCCGGAATTACAGGCACGCGCTACCATGCCCGGCTGATTTTTTGATTTATTCTAAAGATGAGGTCTTGCCAAGTTGCCCAGGCAGGTCTCGAACCCGCGGGCTCAGGCAATCCACACACCTCAGCCTCCCAAAGAGTGGGATTACAGGCTGAGTCACCAAGCCTGGCTATTACTAGGAAATTTTATCTTACATATATGGCTCAAATTATATTTCTACTGAATAGCGCTAGTATAGAGATTTTTGCAGGCCGGAAGAGTTGCTGATGAGTTCATAGTCTGCTTAAGGTTCCTATATCAAGAAGAAGCCAATGCTCAAGAAAGTCAATAAAACATCAAAGCCAATATCATATAATCTCCTATTCAAACTCCTCACATTAAGATCAATTTCTATTATGTTCAAAGAAATTGAGAGAAAATTATCAAATATAAATGTTATTAAGGCTTTAAACAACTTTTCTGGAAGAATCTATAAGAAAAATAAACAATAAGTTGCTTTGAATTAAGAAACTAAAAATGGTGAATGAACAAAAGGGGAATTTTCACCTTTTACTTCATACCATTCTGTACTGTTTGAATTTTATTTTTTATGAGTATGTATTATGATTTTTAAAAATAGGAATTTTATAATTTTAAGATTGACTGAACATGAAATATCTTCCCCTATACATACACATTTATGTTTTTTGTACATTCAACTTTCAAGAATGTATTTGATTAAAAAATCTCTGAAAAACTGGCTTAACAGGACACAGACATATTTAAACTCAATTTTTTCTGGGCATGATAGTTATCAAACAGAAAGCAAACACATCCTAAATAAATAGGAGGAAACTTAAGTGGAAGATAATAAAGTGGGTGACAAATAACTTAGCACTAAGGGGCAGCAACTGTCCCCACCTTATGTGACCAATCAATAAGCAAAATTTCCCTATGGGGCAATTCCAAATTAGCTGATTAAATGATATGAAGTCTGGGATTTGCTTCAAAATTATTGAGGTAAAGGGAAATGGTGGAGGCTTAGATGAAACAAGACAGGCCATGAACGACAGGTACACACATCTCTCTACTTTGATATCGATTTGAAATTTTCCATAACACAAAATTTAAATAATAATAACGATAATAATGAATTTTTTTTTTTTTTTGAGTTGGAGTCTCACTCAGTCGCCCAGACTGGAGTGCAGTGGCCACTCACGGCCACCGCAGCCTTGACCTGCTGGGCTCTGGCGATCCTTCCGCCTCAGCCTTTCAAGTAGCTGGAATTACAGGCATGCGCTACCACGCCCGGCTGATTTTTTGATTTATTGTAGAGATGAGGTCTTGCTGCCCAGGCGGGTCTCGAGTCTGCGGGCTCAGGCAATTCACTCACCTCAGCCTCCCAAAGGCGCGGGATTACAGGCTGAGCCACCGAGCCCGGCAATAATGAAATTTAAAAAGAAAAAAATCCGTCTGCCTGCTGTGTGGTATGTGGAGAGCGAGAGTTCCATAGGTGGATGAGTAAGTGATCTGTTTCAGTATCCCCTCATGAAATGCTGGCAGGCAGGGTGGTGAGGGGGCACAGACATTTGGGACCTGTGAAACAGGACTTACATGGGGACTAGGGGTGAGGGTGAGGGAAGAAGAAACTCTAGGGATGACTTGAGATCTACTGTACCAGGAATAAGCGTAACAGTTTACTCTGGCCAGGCGTGGTGGCTCACGCCTGTAATCCCAGCACTTTGGGATGCTGAGGTGAGAGGATTGCCTGGGCCCACGGGTTTGAGACTAACCTGAACAACTTGGGGAGACCTCATCTTTACAATAAATTTTTTAAAAATTAGCTGGATATGGTGGCAGGTGTCTGTAGTTCCAGCTATTTGGAAGGCTGAGGCGGAAGGATTACCTGAGCCCAGTACGCTGAGGCATGCCACTACACTCCAGCCTGGGTGACAGAGTAAGACTCCAACTCAAAAAAAAGGTAAGAAAAAAAAAACACCAAAAACAGTTTACTCTGTGTTCCAAGCAATTGTGGGGAGCTCTGGGAAACTATTAAGAAAATTTTAGATAGTTTAATAGAACCTTCTTTTAAGGAATTCTTATTTCACTAGGGGTAAGATTTCCCCACAATTTAAGATGCAACAATTTATGTTAAAACACAGAATACAATTACAGTCCTTGTAACACCATCTGATGAATCACTCATTCTTTTCTAAATGCTCCAGGAAAGAATTTCTCCCTAGTTTCTGGTCCAGCTGCCACAATTAATTTTAAATACAAAATGGTTTCATCTGCAAATGCTCTTCTCTCTCTCTCTCTCTCTCTCTCACACACACACACACACACACACACACACACTTAAAATCTGAGACAACATTGAGAGTTCATCCTGACACTCACTAAATAATCTGTCAGCAGGTTGAATCTGACCTGACGCAGCCCTTCAACATTAATCAGATTTCTCCCAGAATAGAGCGCAACCTTTCAGGCACCTGTTTGCTTTTGCATGGGCAAGGGTGCCAGGCAAAATTCCACTGGCCAAAGCTCTTTAGGAGAAAAATAAATTCAAAAGGCATATACACTTCTCAACAAGGCTGTGGGAAAAAAGCCTTAGTGCAGTAAAGATTTGTAATTTACTTACAAAGAACAAGTTATATAAGAGTTGTATTTGGGATCAGAACCAGGCTAAAACCAAAATAACCTGCCTCACGTATATCTGAAACCTAGTCTTATTCATATTAGGCAGTTATTTCTACACAGAAATTAATATGTCCTCTCTTGCATAAATAAAAGCTTCAGACCACAAAAACACTTTTTAAACAGTGGAACTGATCCAGATTTAAAGGGAAATTTATTTCAGAATACATTTCAAAGGTAAAGAAAATAACTGTCAAAGGAGAGACTGCTTAAGAGCCCAAAGATGTCAGCAGTGCACCTATCAAACAGCAAGGGATGTGACCAAAGCATCCGTAAGAGTAAAGGGAGGTCACACAGCTACCACCCCATGTGTACACAGTGCAAGGAGGGAGGAGGAATGAGGGAACATGGCCTACCTCTGAGACGTTCCCCTGCTATTAGGGAGCTAGACTTCTCACACAGGACCCAGACAATTGGCTCCCATAAATGCTGCCACAGGAGAGTCAAGAGTGAGTGGTTAGTGCTTGTGGGCCACCATAAGAATGGAGTCAGCCTTCTCTGAGAAGTGGCATTCAGATAGGCCCCAGAGGGTCTGTCAGATTTCCACAGGCAGGGAAGGGTAACAAGTGGAAAAGAATGGCAGTCTGCTAGGTGTGGCTGGGGCTTGGTGAGCAGGGAGACTTTGAAAAACGAGGGCAGGAAGCTGCAGAGGGTCCAGAATGCCAGTGGAAAACTTCTAAAGTTCCTTATGCCACAGATCTGAAGTAACAAGGGAACCACTAGCCACATGTGGCTACTAAATTCAAAATGTGGTCAGTTTGGATTGAGATGTGCTTGCAGTAAATATACTTGGATTCCAAAAAGTTAGCACTAACAACAGAAAAACCGTAAAACATTTTACTAGTTTTATACTAAACATATTAAATATTTTAGATTAACTGGGTTAAATATATTAATTAAAATTAACTGCATGATTCATTTTACTTTTTTTTATTTTTTACTTTTAAAAAATGTTCTAGGAGACCGCACTCGGTGGTTCACCCTGTAATCCCAGCACTTTGGGAGGCCGAGGCGAGAGGATTGCCTGAGCCGGAGGGTTCAAGACCCACCTGGGCAACTTGGTGAGACCTGTCTCTATAATAAATAAAAAATTAGCAGGGCGTGGTAGCGTGCGCCTGTAGTTCTAGCTACTTGGAAGGCTGAGGTGGAAGCATCACCGGAGCCCAGCAGATGGAGGCTGCGGTAGCCGGGAGCATGCCACTGCACTCCAGTCTGAGCAACAGTGAGACTCCAACTCAATAAATAAATAAATAAAAATGCTCTAAGAAACTTCGCTTGTGGTGCTGTATATTACAAGTGGACAGTGCTGCTATAGACAGGAGAAAGTCATCATGGTTTCTGGAAAGAAGTGATATAGACCAGTCTGGGCTGGGCATAGTGGCTCACGCTTGTAGTCCTAGAACTTTGGGAGGACTGCTTGAAGCCAAGAGTTTAAGACCATCCTGGGCAAAATAGCAAGATCATGTCTCTAAAAACAATTTTTTTTTAATTAGCCAGGTGTGGTGGTGCATGTCTGCAGTTCCAGCTATATGAAAGGTTGAGGTGGGAGGACGGCTTAGGCCCAGAAGTTCGAGGCTGCAATGAGCTCACCACTGCAGTCTAGCCTGGGTGACAGAGCCAGATCTTATCTCTTAAAAAAAAAAAAAAGTACCTAACTCCAGTCAGAATGGCAATTATCAACAACTCAAAAAATAACAGCTGCTGGAGAGGGTGTGGTGAAAAGGGAACACTTCTACACTGTTGGTGGGAGTGTAAACTAGTGCAACCTCTGTGGAAAGTAGTGTGGCGATTCCTAAAAGCTCTAAAAATTGACCTTCCATATGACCCTGCAATCCCCCTACTGGGAATATATCCTGAAGAACACAAATCACTCTATAAAAAAGATACCTGCACACGTATGTTTATCGCAGCGTTGTTCACAATAGCAAGAACCTGGAAACAACCATGCTGCCCATCAAAAGAGGACTGGATTAAAAAAAATGTGGTACATATACACGATGGAATACTACGCAGCCATAAAAAAGAACAAAATCATGAATTTCGCTGCAACCTGTATGGAACTAGAGTCTATAATACTGAGTGACCTCTCACAGAAACAAAGATCTGAATATCACATGTTCTCACTCATATAATG